ATGGACGCAAGTGAAGACACAAAGGGATATGGAACTCAGAGGTAAACAAAAGGCAAGCATTTTTTGTGGCTGATAACATGAACTCAAACGAAGGCAAACAGGGCCGAGAGCTAAATGAAAACCTAAACTGGAAGAACTGAAATAACTGAGACAGAGATGAGACAGAGGAACTATGAATGGACTAAGACAACTATGATATGGTAACTATGAATACCTGCAGGGAGGTAACACAGATGATCCGACAAAGACTGAAAGGACACACACAGACTAAATATAAAGAAGGGAGATTAGGGGAAGTGGAAACACATGAGGAAACAGCTGACACAATAGACCAGGTGTAAATTGTTCTTATATAGCACTTTTCTACTCTTTCTGAGCACTCAAAGAGCTTTATACAACTATTTCATTCACCCAATCACATCCATTCACATTCTGAGCTCTTAAGTGCTAAGTATCTACCGTTCATACTCCGATGGACGCATCGGAGAGCAACATGGGGTTAGTATCTTGCCCAAGGATATTTGTCATGCAGACTGGAGCAGCCTGGGATCGAACCACCAACCTTCTGGTTAGTGGCTGACCTGCTCTGCCACCTGAGGTACAGGTACACACCCAGGGGTGTCGAACTCCAGGACTCGAGGCCCGGTGGGTTAATTAAATGATTAGTTCATTACCAGCCCTGGAGAACTTCAAAACATGTTGAAGTTCTAGCCAACTTACACTGGCTTCCTATTAAATATCGATTTGATTTTAAGATCTTGTTGTTTACTTATAAAATTCGAAATAATAGGGCGCCAAATTACTTAGCTGATCTCCTCTGTCAGTATAGCCCTTAGAGAGCACGAAGATCATCGGGTCAACTGCTCTTAGTGCAACCTAGATCTCAGCTGAAGACTAGAGGAGACCGTGCCTTTGCTGTTGCTGCACCCAAATTATGGAATAATCTTCCTCTTGACGTTTGCGCATCTGATTCTATTCAATCTTTTAAATCATGTCTAAAAACTTACTTGTTTAACCTAGCATCCGAGGCTAATTAGAGTGATTTTCATCCGGCTCTGCATTTACATTATGTAATTATTTTATATCTGTAGTTTATATTTTTTTATATTGTGATTTTATCTGTGTTATGGTATTACTGGGAAGCACTTTGGTGTACTTTGGTCTTTAAATGTGCTATACACATAAATTTGCTATAATTTGATATGATACATGTTAGAAAACAGAATAAACCAAAATGTTTAAGTCATGTGTTTATTTGCAGATAGAGAAACTGCTGTTATTCATATATCAATAAAAACATTGGCTATGCAACATTTGTTTTACTTTTTTAGTAAACAAGAATACACTTTTAACGTAGCCACTAACATAAACTCAGAATGACTAACCTGAAATTGTTGCATTTTAGTAAGGTGAAGATACAAGAACATAATCAACGTGTAACCACATTTAACTGTTTTACTCTAAAGAAATGCTCTGAAAATGCCTGTTTTTCCATATTTGTAGACTGGAGAGTATCATTACACAATTCTGCTTGAAAACTCAAAGGGAAAGGTGACACTGGTTTAAAACATCAGTTGTAAATTTGCAAATCTTCACACTCAGTTAATGAAGCATCACATCTCCTCCTCCCTCTCTTCCTGTCCAGGATACATCTGCAGGTCTCTGTATCTTTTATAACTTCATGCAAATGAAGTCGTGTCCGTTCTCTGTAACATTAGATGAGACTTCCCTGGACTATAAAATGTGATTTGTATTATTATATTTTCAGGCTGCATTTCACTATAATTTGGTAAATTAAAGGCAGTTTACCTCTTTGGTTTGGTCTATGAACTTCTCATAACAAAATAAACTAAATTGAGTCCAGCTCTGTAACTAATCTTCACTGCAGCTCTACTCTCAACTCTACTCCTCTACAGTTCACTTCTTCAGGAAGTTCCTGTATGCTCTCTCCTCATGAGTATTGTTGTGCACCAGTAGGAGCCCGGAATCCACTGGACCAGAGACACACACTCCTCCACCATACTGGAGGATTTGGAGTCCAGGTTTTTCTTCATTCTACCAGCTATGACACTGACCATAACCAAATACAAAACTAGTGAAGAAACACTCAGAAAAAGTAAAAGGGGAAAATGCCAGTGACTTCCACGTGTAAAATCATTTGTTTTGATTGTTCTTTCATCATTGCCCGTGTTGTGCACCTGTTGTTGATTGCATTAAGACTAAAGCAGCTGAAATTGATTAACAATCTAACAAACCTCTGCTACTTGACTGATCAGACCAGAAATTTAACATACTTGATGCGATACTCTTAAAAAGTGTTTCTTTAATTTTTTTGGAACACCATATATTTTCTGTGCTTCCCTTTCACTGGATGTTCTTAATGGTTTTTCATAGTTTGGAAATTTTAAGCTGAAAACTTAATGTTTCTGCAAATAATGCTAATATCATTACTGTCATTTTCTAGACTTTCAGACTTTTATGGCATTTATAGTTGCTGAACACTGTATTTTCTGGCTGCAGCCTCTGTGCTCCTGTGCTGATTAACAACCCCCTCTGCTACTTAACTGCAGCTGGGGCTGATCAGCTAATGAGGCTCTCCCTCTACCAGGAGGTGACTCGGACTGGAGGAGAGAGCTGTACTGGGAGAAAAAGCTGCAAAAGCAGTCTGATCAAGTTAGTGTGAAAGTATTCACTAACGTAACGTTTAGTGAGGTAAATATACAAGAACCTCAGCATCACTAAAAATATCTAACAGTGTTCTGTAGATGGTGATGAATTCAAATTTAGCAAAAGTTACATCAAGGCATATTTTTTGAATAAAGCACAAGTTTAAGTAAAATATAACCAACTATAATCCTGTCTCATTTTAGATGTGGAGATAGTAACCATTATAAAATTAAAATAACAATCAAACAACCAAACAAAAAAGAAATGAAAAAAGGGGAAAAAGAAGAAGAAAACATTACCAACATCAGTGTTTATGAAAATAATGTTAATAATACAGGTTAGAGAAAGGGGGACGAATCCAACGCTCCTCCTCCTGTCAGACTCTCTGTGCTCTCATCACTGCTCTAACATGTAAAGAGTCTAAAATATATTGAAGAATAGATCTCATGTTAGATTTAAATGTCAGTGTGTTTCTCTTGACTCCATGTCTTCTTGTTGTTTGCAGGTGTGAGTTGTGTGACGGTGGTGACACAGAAACCTCCTGTTTTATCAGTGAGGAAAGGAGAGACAGCCACCATGGACTGTAACCTGGGGACTGGTACTAATGCTGCTCAGTGGTATAAACAGATTCCAGGAGTAAGTCCTCAGTTTGTGGTGTCCTTTTATCATGGCTGGAGTTCTCCAACCTATGGCTCTGGGTTCTCTGCTCCAAAATTCACATCCACTCATCAATCAACAAAAAATTTTTGCTTGATCATCAAGAACATGGAGGAGGTAGACTCTGCAGTCTATTACTGTCAGACATGGGACGGCTCTGCTAGCAGTGCGGTATCACAGTGATTTACACTGTGACAAAAACCTCCAAACAGATACTTCTGCTTTATTATCAGGATGCCAAAGAGCTTAAAAGACTCCTCCAACAAACACACTGAAATCCCACCACCTTCAAATACTGTGTTATTTGTTTTGTTTTTTATTTTAATATTAATCATGAAAATCATGAAAAAAGCCAAAAGGGGACTATTCAGTCAAAACTACTCAAATAATGATATACAAAACAGGAGACCAATACTGTATGCTGTTGTCTTTAAGTAATATAACTTTAATGGAAATCAGACTCAACTCTTTTTTTTTTTTTTTTTGTATGTCTGTCCGACACTGTTGCAATCAGACTTATTGTCTCAAGGCCAAGGAAAATTTCCAACAGATTTATTTTTTGCAAGCTGATCGTTACGGCTTTTGCTATAATGGTCCACTTGATTGTCACAGTTTGTTCGATATTATTTATGTATTGATTTCTTTTTTTACTTTTAATTATTATTTAATTATTACAGTCGAAATGAACAGAACCAGGGGATAGGAAAGATGAAGAAAAGAGAAGTTGGGAAGAGGCTCAAGAGAAGGAGAGGGAAAGAAAAACAGAGACAGAGAAAAAAGACACTGAAAATCTGTTTGATCACCTGCTGGAAAAAAAACACAAGCAAGAAGAGAACAACACAGTATGGAAACCACAACAACAACCAACATAAGCATAAGTAACAGTAAATAATAAATATTGAATGTTACTGAGCGGCACACAAGACCGACAAATCACAATATGTTTAGAGGCAGCAGACAATCAATGGTGTATGTCTGTGAGTACCTTTTTGTACACACCTGTGTGCAAACAGATATTCACTACCAGCATTGTGCACCAGGATTAGAAGAGTTACATCCTGAGTGTTAGTAACAGTGGTGCTCAGTTTCATCAGTTTGCAATAATATGTGTCACAGTGATAATCAGATTGTTTAACTCTCGAGATGTAGATGAGAGAAACTTTGTTTTTGTGAATCGTTTGTATCACAGTGATCTGTATTTGAACTCTTTGTTCAGCTGTTCAATATTCATTAATGACGTAACATTTTATAAAATGTTCTCCTAACCCCAACAACTCCGGTTTCATGTGACATTACACGAAAAGTTATGCATTTCCTTTGACTAATTATAACAATTAATTGTAACAGTTAATGGGGTTCTGCTCTGTTTTTGTCCAAATATAAAAACTGGTAATGGTTAAAGCATCAATAATAAATCTTAAGAACATAGAAACCAACTTATAATAATAAAATATAACACCACAATTTTAAGGGAGAGGACGGAGACATCACTATCAGCAATAATTATTAATACAAAAACTGAATTAACCTTTACTAAAGACAAGTTACCCAAAACATCACAAACTGTGCAGGTTTAGCTCCTCCTCATGTCAGTCTCTCTGAGTTTCAGTGTCATATTTAATGGTTCACACCTCCTCTCCTCTAAAGAAACAGTTCTATCGCTTTGTAAGTTCCAAGTCTCAACACACAGTGACAACATGCTGGTGACTCTCTGTGCTCTTATCACTGCTCTAACATGTATGGGACCTCATTTACACTTCAGATCAGTAGTTATTTGTAGGATTCATATGTGCTTGTGTTTGTCTTGATTCCATGTCTTCTTGTTGTTTGCAGGTGTGGGTTGTGTGACGGTGGTGACACAGAAACCTCCTGTTTTATCAGTGAGTAAAGAAGAGACAGCCACCATGGACTGTAACCTGGGGACTGTTACTAACAGTGGTGCTCGGTGGTATAAACAGACTCCAGGAGGAGTTACTCAGTTTGTGGTGTATTTTCGTTATGACTCTAGTTCTCCAAAGTATGGCTCTGGGTTCTCCTCTCCAAAATTCACATCCACTCATCAGTCAAGATCAGATTATCGTTTGATCATCAGCAATGTGGAGGAGGGAGACTCTGCAGTGTATTACTGTCAGACATGGGACGCCTCTGTGAATGAGCATGTATCACACGGATTTACACTGTGACAAAAACCTCTTCACTGTTACTTCTGCTTTTTGATGCTTTTTTTTTCACATGCTGACAAAACACCCATTCAACAAACTCAGTGTAAACCCACCTTGTGTTTATTTTAATGTTCATCAATGAAAACCCACCAACTCTAGAGAGTGTTTTTATAAACACAGAATTACTCTTTTTGATACATTTAAGCAATCATCACTGAAAGTATATAAAATATCAAAGAATATGACGACCACCAACAACACAAGTTGTCACATATATGTACACAATGATCTACGTGTTTTTAAATAACAGCAATGTGATAAAATTCTGATAACTGTAACATTCTAGCTGCAGTAAATCACATTAATCAACCTAAATAGATACTGTTAAAGTTGCACAATATTTCATTGGAAGTTAAAATGTAGCTAAATTAAATTTGATCTGTTGCTTCTCTTCTCACTACAATTCTTTTCACACCTCAGCTGAATAGTAAAGGATGTTTACACACTGACAACATGCTGGGGATTGTCTGCTCTCTCATCACTTCTCTAAAGTGTAAGATGTTCTTCTCATCTGTTTCATAGCCCATCTTTTTGGAGAAACACATTTCACACATGTTCTTTATGTGTTTGCTGGCAGATGCTAATGCAGTGTTAGTGTTTATTCAGATACCTGCTGTCCACTCTAGATAAAGAAGGTGTTCTCAGGTGCAACACAGAGAAATGGTTGAATTATGTTAGATGGTCTAAACATTAGTTGTTGTTTTTTTTATTCATATAGCACATTTAATTACAACAGCAATTGACCTGTAGTGCTGTATAAAAATACAAAATAATTAGTTGTTCTTCTTGTTGTTTGCAGGTGTGAGTGGTGTGACGGTGGTGACACAGAAACCTCCTGTTTTATCAGTGAGGAAAGGAGAGACAGCCACCATGGACTGTAACCTGGGGACTGTTACTAATGAACCTGCTTGGTGGTATAAACAGATTCCAGGAGGAGTTCCTCAGTATGTAGTGAAGTTTCGTCATGACTGGAGTTCTCAATACGATGGCTCTGGATTCTCTTCTCCAAAATTCACATGTACTCATCAGTCAACAACAGATTATCGTTTGATGATCAAAAATGTGGAGGAGGAAGACTCTGCAGTCTATTACTGTAAGACATGGGACACCTCTGTTAAGGAGTACGCATCACAGTGATTTACACTGTGACAAAAACTTCCTCACTATTACTTCTGCTTTTTGGGTACAAACTCAGTGCACCATATAAACAATTAGTTCTTAAACATTGCTCTTTTAAATGTATTTATTGTATTTCTTTATTTATTTCCACTTTGACTTTAAATAAACAAAGCATCAAAATATACACACATTATTCACACATAAAACCTCACATCATCAGCTTTTAATGTTATTGTACTGTAAAACAAGATTGATCAAAAACATTCTCAACATGTTAACTGGTTAATCTGATTTCAAGCCACAGTAAGAAGAAAAAATGAGTCCACACAAATCCTCTTTATATTACAGTTCAATAATTTCACTAATTCATGCTTCACTAAAATTCAGTCAAAAAAAAAAACCAAGACTCAGATCAGATCAGCTAGTTGCAGAGATTTATTATTTTGAATCAGCTTTAGTTCATCAGAAGCATGTTAATGAGGTCGAAAGAGAATGTAAACATATACAGATAAGGTAATTTCCCTTTGTCTATTTCTATTGCTTTTTTTGTTTGTTGACGGAGGAAAACACAGGGCTTAAATACACAGGGAGTAACGAGGGGATCAGACACATCTGGGAGCAATCACACAGGGACATGGAGGAAGCAAAACTGGAAATATTTACAAAGGATGCGAGACTATCAAAGTAAAAGACACAGATTTGACACGAAGATCCAACTGACAGCGAAGACAGAGCGAACATGGGTCACAGAGACAAGAGTAACTAACACTCACAGAGAGACATGACTGACTGGGGAGACACAGGAGATGAACGAATACAGAAACAAGGGTGACTCGACATGAAGCGGTGAACACAGGAACAGCACAGAGAAAACACAGCAGCAGAGACTAAACACAGGCTGAGATAAACACTAAGGGAGGGAGAACTAAGGTCACTGAAAACTTGAAAGGAAACCAAAATCATGAACAACAGTAATCAAAGAATATAAATCTAAAACCTGAAAGACAAATACTGAGTCGCAGACCCAGTACTGTGACATATACACTGATTAAGTCATTTATATTAGTTTTTGTAGAGCAAATTCAAAGAAAATGGTGATATCATTGAGTTTGAAACAATAATGCTCATATAATGGCAATGTTCACTGTATGAAATTATGAATTATTAATATCAGTAATTTAGTCTTTTATAAATAAAAGCTGTTTTGCTGAATCTCCTCCTCTTTCAGTTCTGCTTCTCTGTCTTTATAAGCTTCAGTATCTCTTCTCACTACAGCCCCTCTCATCTTTCAGGATCAGTTTCTCCACCTACTATCATAGTGCTGGGGACCCTCTGTGCTCTCATCTCTGCTCTGACGTGTAAGACATTCTTTTTATTGATTTTAAAATCTGTATATTTTTAGGTAAATCTTTCACTCATTTTTTTTCTCGGTTTCCTGGCAGATGTTGATGCAGTGATAGCGTTGACCCAAACACCTGCTGTCCACACAGTTTCTTCAGGTCAACAAGCTGTTCTCAGCTGCAACATAGAGAGATATGATGGGAATTATGTTAACTGGTATAAACAAGTTCCTGGAGGGGCTCCTCAGAATGGTCGAAGTTTTGACTATTCTGGCAGCTCACTTGAATTTGGAACAGGATTCTCCTCTGACGGATTCAACTCTAAATCCTCGTCAAACATTGATTCCTAGTTCATAATTAATCAGGAGGAGACAGGAGACTCACAGTCTATTACTGTAAGACATGGGACAGCTCTGCTAACAGTGGAGTATCACAGGGATTCACACTGTGACAAAACCTCCACACTGATACTTCTGCTTTTTAAGACTGTGGCGGAGGTGTGGTCCCAGGCACGGCTGCAGGGGAGGAGTGGTGCAGTGAGCTCAACGGGGCGGTGCTGGAGACGCAGGTGAGAACAGCTGATGGCATTTGGACTGATGATGGTTTCCTTCCCCTTTTATAGTGAGACGGGAGAGGAGCGGGGGGGGGAGGCTGAAAATCAGCTGAGACCGGAGCTGTCCGACTGTGGACTATCATAATAAATGAAAACTAGAAATAAACGTGGTATCTGGTGACAAACAACTGTGCGTGTGTGAAGTGCATTTCACAAGGACTCTTTCACAACCTGGTAAACGACACCTCTAACAAACCTTCAAATAGTGTATTATTTGTTTGTTCATTTTTTTTTAATATTTATCATTGAAATCATGAACAAAGCAAACTGGGGAAAATCCATATTCATCCATCCATCCATTCGCTTCCGCTTATCCTTTTCAGGGTCACGGGGGGCGCTGGAGCATATCCCAGCTGTCAGCCAATAACTACTCATATGCAAAATCATATACAAAAAGCAGACCTACATTTTATGCATGTACGTATAAGTAATATAAATTTAGACACCAGACTCAACTCTTAAATAGTTATAAACATAGATTCAGCATCATTAAATGTAAGAAAAGAAGAAAATGTGTGATGTGTGACAATAAGGACATTTGCATTTGAACTAAAACCATTCAAGGAACTGCCTGTAATGGTTCAAATCTCTGATGGAGCTGATGGAGAGTTTTTAAATGAGGACAATTCACTTTACTTTGTAACAGGATTCTCCTCAGACTGACTAAATTCTACATCATCATTAGATGTGGATTTAGAGTTAAAAGGAGGAGGGTAAGCATTGTACTGCACTGAAACATAGACTCTATTGAGTAGAACATAAGACAATCATGAATACTGTGACAAAAAAACAAACAAAACACAACTGAGTGACTGAGTTAACATTTCCAACCATTAATTGTAGAACAAAACAAATGAATACAAAAATGAATTTGAGTGTCTAAAACCAAAATGTTTTAGTAAACGCAAATTACTAAAACATTTAGTAAATTGTTGTGTTTAACTCTCAAGATGTAGATGAGCGACACTGGTATTTGTTTTTGTGAATCAGGGGAACTGTATCAAAACGCCTGTATCACAGTGATTTCATTTGTGAGAAATACCACAAAACTCATGTGGCTCAAGTTTGCAATGAAACAGGCGCCCACACAGTTCTAGTACTAAAATTATTCTTTTTTTTGAACTCTTTATTCAGTTGTTCAATATTCATAAATGCCGTAACATTTTATCAAATGTTCTCCTAATCCTAAACACTCCAGTTTCATGTGAATTTCCAGAGAAGTTCATACATTTCAAGGTTGTTGATTATGTAATTATAGCAGGTAACTGTAAGGGTTAGCGGGATTCTGATCTTTCTTTTTTTTTTGTCCAAACATAAAAACTGGTAATGGTAAAAGCATCAGTAATAAACCTGAAGGACATAGCAACCATCCTTCCATACATACATCTTCTTCCACTTATCCAGGCTGGGTCTCAGGGGCAGCAGCCTAAGCAGAGGATCCCAGACCACCTCCAGCTTCTCTGGGGAAACATCAAGGTGTTCTGAGGCCAGCCGAGAGATATGCATATCCGGGGTCTGCCCCGGGGAATCTTCCCAGTCAGACATGCCTGGAACACCTCACCCAGGAGACATAGCAAACAATTTTTCATAATAAAATGCAGCAGCACAATTTTAAGGGAGAGGAGGGAGACATAACAATCACCAATATTTATTAATACAAAAACAGAATTACCCTCCACTGAACATAAATTACCCAAACATCGCAAACTACGCAGATTTAGCTCCTCCTCCTGTCAGTCTCTCTGAGTTTCTGTCACATATTTAATGGCTCACACCTCCTTTCCTCCTACAGAAGCAGTGCACTCTTTCTAAGTCACAGGTCTCAACACACAGTGACAACATGCTGGTGACTCTCTGTGGTCTCATCACTGCTCTAACATGTATGGAACGTCATTTATACTTCAGATCAGTAGTTATTTGTTGGATTCATATGTGCTTGTGTTTTTCTTGACTCCATGTCTTCATGTTGTTTGCAGGTGTGAGTGGTGTGACGGTGCTGACACAGAAACCTCCTGTTGTATCAGTGAGGAAAGGAGAGACAGCCACCATGGACTGTAACCTGGGGACTGTTGATAGCTATGTCTGTTGGTATAAACAGATTCCTGGAGGAGTTCCTCAGTATGTGCTGGATTTTCATCATAGCGATAGTTCTCCAACCTATGGCTCTGGGTTCTCTGCTCCAAAATTCACATCCACTCATCAGTCAACAACAGATTATCGTTTGATCATCAGCAATGTGGAGGAGGGAGACTCTGCAGTCTATTACTGTAAGACATGGGACAGCTCTGTGAAAGAGCTCGTATCACAGTGATTCAGGCTGTGACAAAAACCTCTCCACTGTTACTTCTGCTTTTTGATGCTCTTTTTTTCACATGCTGACAAAACACCCATTCAACAAACTCAGTGTAAACCCACCACCTTCAAATAGTGTGTTTATTGTTATTTTTTATTTATTTTAATGTTCATCATTGAAAACTCATCCACTTCAGACAGTCTGCTAATAAATACTGAATTACTTGTTTTGATATATTTTTACATTCATCACTGAAAGTATAAAATATCGAGGAGTATAATGACCACCAACAACACAAATTGCCATATATATGTACACAATTATGTGCATTTTAAATTATGTGCATCTAACACAATTAAACCTATTATGTGTGTGTCTTTTTAAATAACAGCAATTTGACAAACGGTTTCCTAAAACTCTGATAACTGTCACATTCTAGCTGCAGTAAATCACATTAATCAACCCAAATGGATACTGATAAAGTTGCATAATAGGTTTAAAAATGCTTCATATGAAGTGAAAATGCAGCTACATTGAATTTTATCTGTTGCTTCTCTTCTCACTACAATTGTTTTCACATCTCAGCTGAATATTAAAGGATGTTTACACCTCACACTGACAACATGCTGGGGTCTGTCTGCTCTCTCATCACTTCTCTAAAGTGTAAGACGTTCTTCTCATCTGTTTCATAGCCCATCGTTTTGGAGAAAGACATTTCACTCATGTTCTTTCTGTGTTTGTTGGCACATGTTAATGCAGCAGAAGTGTTTATCCAGATACCTGCTGTCCACAAGGTTTCTCCAGGTCAAGAAGTTGTTCTCAGC